TTACATTTAAAATATTATTAATAGTGCTGGACATTTAGCCAGTTAAGACGCCTGCATCCCACATCAGAGTACCTGAGTTCAATAACCAAGAGTTCCAGCCCTTGGCACCAAATTCCTGCTAATGTAGACCCTGTGGGCACAGGGTAATTGTATTCTTGCCACCCACATGAATGACCTCACTGAGGTTCTATCTCGTGATCCCAGTTCTATCCCGGTCCCAGCCTTTGTAGGCGTTCAGGGAATAAACCAGCATTTAAGACTTGCTCCGTACTGTACATGTTTATCTCTCCCTTCACCTCACATAAATAAATATTCATAAGATATTAAATATCTGTGAATAATTTTAATCCATGCCCACAGAACAACACATAGTGAAGGTCCTAGAGACATCACACAGCTACAGATCCACTGCTACTGATGACCCTAACATCACTTAGGCATGTCTCACAGACTAACAGGAAAGATCCCACTGGGACCACAGCAACAGGCATATGACTACTGCCATCACAAACCCTAATGCAGCTGAAAGCCAACTATCTGTGGCCTGATTTAAACACACATACCTTTGGAAGCCTATCTCCACTTCAAAATACTACTACTAACTTCTTGAGCTGTTGAAGTCTAGACAGCTGTAATCCTTAGCTGCCATTGATTACAACTGAAGTAATCGTTCATCTTACATTGCAAGTTTGTAAAACTGAAGTAATTGTTCATCTTACATTGCTAATTTGTAAAAAAATTTCCTGGTTTGGTACTATGAAGTAGCAAATAAAGCCACTGCCTGCATCCCACATGCAAACAGCTTGAATTGCGGCTGTTCCACACAAGCTCTCTGTTAATGTGCCTGAGAAAGCAGCAGAGGATAACCCACATATGATATACATATAGCCTGGTCCAGCCCTGGCTATTATGGTGAGCTGAAAGGTGAACCAGCACAGGGAAAATCTCTCTCACACTCACTCTCTCTGCTTCTCCTTTACCTGTAATCCCAGCTTGTAAATAAGTAAATAATAAATCTGTTTTAAAAATCATGTATCACAATCAAGTGAGTTTTATCCCAGGGATGTAAGAATGATTTAAGATTCTCAAATCAACAAATGCAAAAAATCATAATAACAGAATGAAGAACAGAAACATATATCATGCCAATGGACACAGAAAAACAATTTGGTAGTATCCAACATTCCTTTATAATGAAAACTCTCGACAAATTAAGTATGGAAAAAACATATCTCAAAACTATAAAGCCAATTCATTTAAGACAAGCACATTCAGCCAATATTATACTGAGTGAAGAAAAGTAGAACACATTTCCCAACTCAAATCTCGAACACAAGAATATCCACTTATATCTGTCTTATTCAAAACAATACTAGAAATATTACCAAGACTAACAATTAGGGAACAAAAGGAAATAAAAGGAATCAAAACCTTACAAGAGGAAGTTAAAATATACCTGCTTGAAGATGACTGATTTGTGCATGGAAAAACCTGAACACTCTGCCAAAAGTTGTTAGGACTGATAAAGCAATTCAGCAAAATTTCAGAATACAAAATCAACATGCAATGAACAGGTGCTATAGCGTAGTGGTTAAAGTCCTTGCCTTGCATGCCAGGAATCCCATATGGGCGTGAGTTCTAATCTGCTTCCCATCCAGCTCCCTGCTTGTGGCCTGGAAAAGCAGTCAAGGATGGCCCAAAGCCTTGGAACCCAGCACCCATGTGGGAGACCCAGAAGAGCTCCTGGCTCCCGGCTTTGAATTGGCTCAGCTCCAGCCATTGCAGTCACTTGGGGAGTGAATCATCAGATGGAAGATCTTCCTCTCTGTCTCTCCTCCTCTCTGTATATCTGCCTTTCCAATAAAAAATAAATAAATCTTTTTTTAAAAAAAGAACAAGTGCATCTTTTTTTTTAAAGATTTATTTTTATTATTGGAAAGGCAGATATACAGAGAGGAGAGACAGAGAGGAAGATCTTCCATCTGATGATTCACTCCCCAAGTGAGCACAACGGTCGATGCTATGCCGATCCGAAGCCAGGAGCCTCTTCCAGGTCTCCCACGCGGGTGCAGGGTCCCAAAGCTTTGGGCCGTCCTCGACTGCTTTCCCGGGCCACAGGCAGGGAGCTGGAAGGGAAGCGGGACTGCCGGGATTAGAACCGGAGCCCATATGGGATCCCGGGCATGCAAGGCGAGGACCTTAACCACTGCGCTACCGCGCCGGGCCCCCCAGGTGCATCTTTATATATGAATAAACATCTTGGTGTAAAGGAGAACAAGAAAGTAACCCCATTCACAATGGCTACAAAAAATAAAATATTTATGAATAAATTTAATCAACAATGTAAGACTGGCATAACAAAAATCAGAATTCATGAAATAGATCACCAAGAACACAAAAAATTAGGATTTCTTTATTCATGAATTAGAAAAATTAACATCATTAAAATATCCATGCTATCTAAGGCAATAATCAGACTCAATGCAATTCCTATCAAAATATTAACAATAATCTTTTCAGAATTAGAAAAAATAATCTTCAAATTCTTATGGCATCACAAAAAAAACAAAGAATACCCAAAGTGATGCTGAATTAAATAAATATGTAATAAATAAAGCTGGAAGTATCACAACACCAAATTTCAAAGCTATAATAATTTAAATAGGATGGTACTAGCACAAAAACTGACATAGATAAGTGAAACAAACCAGAGAATCCAGAAACTAACCTTTGTGCATATAAGCAATTTATTTTTTACATACTGATTTTTTTTGCAATGCAAACAGTAGAGTCTTTTTAATAAGTGGTACTAGCAAAGCTAAATATGTATATGTAGAAATATAATATTAGCTCTTACCTCCTACTAATAATCAACTCAAGATGAATGAAAGACCTAAATGTAATACCTAAAACTGAAATTGCTGGAACAAAGTGCAGGAGAAATATTTCAAGACATTGATGTAAGCAATGATTTTTGTATAAAATCCAAAATTTACAGGAAACAAAAGGAAAACTAGAAAATGGCATCAAATTAGACACAGAAGCCACTTAATTGCAAAGGAAACAATAAGTAGTGAAGAAACATCTGGCTGAATATGAGAAATATTTGTAAACTACTTATCCAATAAAGGAATAATATCCAAAATACACATGAAACTCAAAAAAATTAACAATATAAAAAGCAATTAGTCTAGTTAAGAATTATGCAAAAGACCGATGATTCTCAAAAGAAACACAAATGACCAACTAACATGAAAAAATGTTAGCCATCATTGAAGATACAAAACTACAATGAGATGTCAACTAAATGCTGTCAGAACGTCTATTATCAAAAGGACAGAAAGTAACAAAGGTTGGCAGGTTGTGGAAAAGGGGAAATTCTACATAAAGAAAAATTTATTTATGCTTTATTTATTTGAAAGAGTTACTCAGCACGATGTTACACAGAGTTACACAGCAGGTTTCCACCTGTTTCAGCAGGTGAAATTCTGGAGCTTCACCCAGCTCCTTTCTGCACAGGAGAGGCCCAAGCACTTGGGTCATCTTTAATGCTTTTCTCACACCATTATCAGGGATCTGGGTCATGAGGGAGCAACAGGGACACAAGGAATCAGCACCCATATGAGATGACCTGCTACGCCACAACACTGACCCTGAGAAAGGGAAGCACATTGCTGGTGGAAATGTAAATTAGTGCTGCCACTAAGGAAAACATCATTGAGATTTAAAAACTGGAAACTGAAGTTCTATGCAATCCAGCAATTTCACTATGTTCATATACACAAAAGCAATGAAGTTGTATAAAAGAGATATCTGCTCCACCATGTTTACTGAACTAAGTTTCCATATTAAGATGAAAATGAACCAAAGTGTCCCATCATCAGATGAATGGATTTTAGATAATGCAGCATATTTACACAATGGAAAACTACTCTGCCATTAAAAACAATCAAATCATATCATTTATAGCAAAATGAATGTAACTGGAGTGTTTCGTGTTCACTGAAATAAGCCAGACACAGAATGATAAAGCCACATGTTCTCCCTTACATGTAGGAATCAAACATAATAAAAATAAAAGTAATAAATAAAGGTAATAACATAAATAATAAAAAGACATCAGTATGTACACAGATGGTGGTTACTAGAGGTTGGAAAGTGTTATGCGTATAAAGGATACCAAACTAGAGCTTGAGCAAAGAGAAACATTCCTAGTGTTACACAATATAATTAGGAGGCTGAGTTCACTACAAGCTAGTACATAGTGCATGAACAAATAGAAGAAAGAAGTCCCAGGCCTCCAATCATGAAGCACTGTGGAAGAAATTCCAATGACTCTGTTATGATCACTATACACTGTATACATGTATTGAAATGGCATACCATAGCTTCTCAATACACACATTCATTGCTAACTGAAACTCAAAAATAAAAATATCTTGCAGATGAAACTCAGAAAATTATCATGACCTAATTGTGCTATCATAATACTTATATGTTTATTATATAAGCTCTTATTGTGTAATATTAAAATAGAAATATGAGTTATGCATGGATTATGCAAAGTATTTTAAAACTTCAGTCAAGGTAAATCTCCAGAAAATTGAGAAATAAAAAAAAAGTATCTCTGAGGTGCAGGGTCTAAAAACATTCATTTTCAAACTGTTTACAAGGAACTTTAAAATTTACTTACACGTGGGCAATTATGTCTTCAGCTTCATTGCTCTTTTTGTTGTTTATTATAGGCAAATTATGGCATAACAGAGGGCAGGGGAAGAGGAGTTGCTGGAAATGAATGAACAACTCAAGCGGGAAGAGCCAGGGATGAGACTCTGAGACTTGGGTCTAATGAACCACTCTGCTCCCAACAGCCACCCCCTACAGCACTGCAAGGCTCATAAATCCCAAGCCTACCAAAAGCAAAACGTTCACAAGTCTAATCTGGTAAGTAACACCCTAACGACGTGCAGCTTGCATCCCATCAGAACTAGAGTACTCACTCTCTTTTCTAACTTTCTCCAGTGCCGCAGTAAGTTCCTCCCTTAAAACCGCAGCCTCCTGGGCAATCTTCTCTCCCTTGTCTAATAAATTCCAAGTTGCATCCTCCACTGAAGCAAGCAGGACTCTAGCTCTTTTTGAACGTCCTTTTTTCCTGTTGGAAGGATTCTGAGGGCAATTTACAAGTGTGGTAACCTAAAATTGGAAAAACACAAATCACTCATTAGACAAATTGAGAAGAAAACAGGCCTGATATAGCATAATCCAGAAGAAAAGTATTTCATAGGAACATGCCCAGTATCCTTGGTACACCCCAACAGTCAAGTCATGGTACTGGTAATAGCATCACTGGGCACCAAAAAGTTATCAACAGAAGATAGGAAACAAGAGCTGTAGATCTGGAATCACATCAAGGGTTATTACAACAAGTATGAACTTAAAAGATGGCTGCATGGGTCTACAGCAATTGCAATGCAGTGTGTGTTATGAAGACGTCATTTATGTGTTTATTTAAAAGTCAGAGAGTGAGAATCTTCCATCCACTGGCTAACTTCCCAGAAGGTCAGAATGTCCTGGCTCCTTCTGGAACTCCTGCATGGGTAGTAGGGGCCCAAACAGATGGATCATCTTCAACTGCTTTTTCCAGGCCATTATCAAGGAACTTAACCCAAAATAGAGCAGCCTGGCACAAGCTAGTACCATGTGGGATGCCAGAGTCACAGGCCCTGGCTTTACCTGCCATGCCACAACACCAGCCTCACAAGAAGTAACCTTTTCATCCAAGGGTTATTGTACAAAAAGTGGTTAAATACTCTATCATCTCTCCATAAATATACATAATCTCCCATGGGTATCAGAAAATAATATACCTCGTTAATCAATAACCAAGTCTATTAACTATTACCAGGTATTTGATTTTCAGTGAGTTATTCTTTGATTTTCAGTATGATTAATATCTATATGTAAATCTGCAAATTTTTATGTCATAACTATAACCAAACTTGCACTTGTCAACAGCCAACATTTATTTCTGATTTAAATTCTAAACTTGATAGCTGAATGAACTTCAACTTAGATTTTTTTTCAGTGGTCTCTGAAATTTGCAAGCAGACTGATTTTTTCAGTCAACAAAAGAATGCTTGAGGAGACCCTATGTGTTTTCAATTACAGAAACTTTGTGCCAACAACAACAAAAAAAACCTTGACACAGGGGCCAGCATTGTAGCAGAGTGGTTAAGCCAACACCTGTGATGGCAGCATAGATTTGGCAGTTAAAGTCCTAAGTACACCGTTTCTAACCCAGCACCCTGCTAACGCACCTAGGAAAATAGCAAATGCGGGAGACCTGGATGAAGCAAGCTCTAGCTCCTGGTTTTAGCCTGGCCCAGCACCAGCCCCAGCCATGGTAGCCAGCTGAAGAGCAAACCATTAGGGGAAAATCTACCTTCCAAACAAATAAATACCTGCAAAAAGGAGAAGGAGAAGAAGAACAACAACAACCACCACCTTGGGAACCTTGGGGCTGGTTCCATAGCACAATAGGGTAAACCTCCACCTCAGGCACCGGCATGCCACATGGGGTTCAGTTTATGGCCTAGGAAAGGGACAGAGGATGGCTCAGATCCTTGGACCCCTGTATCCATATGGGAGACCTAGAAGAGGTTCCTGGCTTCAGATTAGCTCAGTTCCTGGCTTAACATAGCTCAGCTCCAGCCATTGCAATCATTTGGGGAGTGAACCAGCACAGAGAAGATTCTCTCCATCTCTCCTATTGTAACTCGGCCTTTCAAATAAAAATAAAATACATCTTTTAAAACAAAAATCCTTAACAAAGCAGTCAAAATTGAGAGTAGAAAATTACATCTCAAAAGTATCAAATTATGCAACTAAATTTATATCTGCTTATAGTCAATCTTTAAGAGGAAGCCAAAATATAGAGATAATTAATATTAAGGAGGGGCACTCTGAAACATACAAAACAATGATTACTTCTGGAGTGGAAATTTCAAATACTTGCTATAACTCATTTTCTTTGACCTTTGCAACCTGATATCCTATACTCTCCAGTACTTCATTCCACTCTCAAACACACAGTTTTTTTCTTAAAGTGGTTGGTCTATCAAGAGGTCTTTCCTGAAAACTTCCATCACTATAGTCTCCCACTCTATCCCTTTGTCCTACTCTGATTTATCCTCAAAACACTCATGATGTGACCAGTGCCTTGGTGCAGCAATCTAAGACTCCACCTGTGGCACCGGCATCCCATATGTGCACTGGTTAGAATCCTGGCTGATTCATCTCCGATCTAGCTCCCTGCTGATCACCTTGCAAAGCAGCAGAGGATGGCCCAGCTCCAGAAGCTGCAGTCATTTGGGGAGTTAACCAATGGATGGAATCTCTCTGTGTGTCTCCACCCCTCCCTGTTACTCTTCCAAATAAAACTAAATCTTCAGAGAAAAAAAACACTCACAGAGCCTGAAATTTTTTGTCTATATATTTATTCTATACTGCCAATAATAAAAATGTCAACTCCATGAAAGCATAAAATGCATTTTGCTCTCCAGTAACCAGAATAAGGCACAAAGTAGGTATTCAAGAAATACTTATCATATACATGTATTGATCACTCGGATATTTGAGAAGGACTTCATATTTTAAAATATCTGAATGTTAACCCATATATTCCTTTTATAAATTTACTTATGGTAAGAACAACTCTAGACACCAAAAATAAGTTTTTTGAGGTGAGAGATGTGTTTTATCTTTATAAAGTATACATGTTGGGTCATAACTATATATAATGTTCATAAAGATTTATCTATCTATCTATTTATTTATTTATTCATTTGAAAGGCAAAGTGACAGATAAGGAGAGAGAGAGAAAAGAGAGTCCCTCCAATGGTTTACTCCCTAAATGCTTACAACAGGCACGGCTAAGCCAGGAGCCTGCAAGCCCATCTACCTGAGTAGCACTGGCCCAAGCACTTTGGCCATCATCCCAGGATGGACCAATAGGAAGATGAACGGGAAGCAGAGTATCCAGCACTTGAACTAGGCACACCAATATGGAATGTGGGGATCCCAAACAGCAACTTAACCCACAGTGTCATAACACCCATCCCAAAATGCCCAATTTCAATTGCAAATTATACCTTGATAAAGGTAGAACAAAAAGAAAAAGTAAATAAATATTTAAAAATAGAACTCATGATGATAACAGCATTTATAAGTGAAAATTAACCACCTATGTTGGGAAATAAAAACTTCAAATTCAACTACAATCTGAAAAAGATGCATTTTTTTTCCACTTAAACCTTAAATTCCAATAACAAATTATGGATAAACTTTTAGCAAGCAAAGCTTGAAAATCCACATTATAGAGGAAAGAAAACTTGAATCCAATAATTAAGATACAATTATTATTTGACAATTAAAAATACATAAGTAATTTTTTTTAAAGAAGGAAAGAAATACCCCTGTTTTGTCATCAAATAGTCAAGGCTTATGATAATCATGAAGCACATCTTTGGCAACAAACAAAACATAACCCTTTACTGCCCATAAATAACAAAGATCTAGTCCTCATGGTATCTACATTAGGGCTCTGGGATACAAGAATGAACTCACAACAAAATGACAGTCTCCTACATGGTTGGGAGACACTCCAGCGGCGACATGATGGACTTGGGAAATTTCACAAGAAAGACCCATTGTGAGACTGGAGGGGAGAACAGAGGAGAGGAGAGGGAACTTGGGGAAGGGGGAAGGGAGACCCCAGCACCAAATAAACTGTTTCAAAAAACAAGTTAAAAAAAATACATAATAACCCTTCCTGCTCGGAAGCCCATAGAGATTTTGCCTGTTGGTTGTTCATGGAGCATTAGATACTTGATTGGATATTGTGACACAGTATGTAGCTAGGAAATGAGAAAGAACTTGTAAGTCACAAAAGTAATATACAGATGAACATAATTTATCTATCCCTCAATTCCCCTCCATTTACCCAACAGACTCTCTTTTATTCTAATTTGTTTTATTGCAGTGTTCATGACTCAGAGTCAATAGTCTTATGGAAAGCTTATTTTTCTGTAAAACTAGATGAAGGTTAAATAAGGTAAAAATGTTCTGGAAAATACATGACACAAATATTGGCTGGCATTTAATGTGCATTTTCCAGTCTGAACTCCACATGGATACAAAAATATTAGTTATAGAAATTGTTAAAAGATGCTCATTCTAGGCCTAATCTTTTCTTGCTATTGGACCCTCTCTCCTGGTGGGGCCCATACCAAATGTGAAGAAGACATTTTAAAGAGCCCATTCTATATACTTCACTAATGAGTGCCATGCATCTTCATCATGAATTATATAAAAATGATAATAATCCTGGCATATAGCACAAGCTTTTACCTAAAGAGAAAATAAGATATTTTTTGTCTAACTTATAGAGAATAAAAAGATATTTGTCCAGATTAAGATGAATTATAACATCTTCTTTGTTTAAGACCTTTTTTTAAAGTGAAGAATAAGTATCATTGTCTGAAATGTTCCTCAGAATGTATTTTAAGTGCCATGATTCATCTTGCTTCCCACTGCACATTCCTCCTGTATTGTTCAGATCCTCCATGCACCAAGTGTTTTCCATAAAATAGCCTGGACTTTGAAATTAAAATGAGCATTCCAGAAATGCTTTGTTCCTTACAATAAATGCCAGAGAAATAAAAAATGTGAAAAGACCATTGTTTAAGAACATTGTGCTTCCGTCAGGAAAATGCAATTGGCATTTTCAGGTTATTCACTTTTATGAATTGCTTGAACCTGTCTTCTTTTAAAATACCCCCAACACAGTTCTTTAATGTTGATTAAAGTTAAGTGAGATTTTCAATGATTTGTCTTATTTCAGAAAGTAAATATAACTTAGAAAGCCTAGGGAAAAAAAAAAGAAAACAGAACTTATTTTCACACCAACTCACCTTAGCAATATAACTGGCTATCAAGAACTATCGCAGAAGATTTTCAACAAGGTGGGGAAGGGGGTTTACATACATTATTCGAAAAGTCTCCTCCCCCATCTTGACAGAATACCATCAACCAGTAAAATCAGTCGTAAAGTTATTCTGTACAATAATTCCTGCTTTCTCAGGTTCTTGTTCAGTATAAAATCAGTTATGCTTTTATAAAGAATAAACAACAAA